GTTCATCAATTGACAAAAGTAGGATAGTAAACTGTGGTGGTGGTGGTGGTGGTGGTTGTTGTAGTAGGAGGTAATCTTACCATTTTTAGACCCCAACTGGACACAGTTGATACACAACAGTATACATATGCCCTAAATTTGTTTTTCTGTTCAGATACAAAATGGCCAACTGGTGGCCATTTTGGTTGTTGAAAATACTTACTTTTGTTCATTTTTGTTTGTATCTAAAGAAAACAATTACTAATTTGTTCATACTTAATACAGAGGCTCTGTACTACTTCACAAAAAATGCAAGTTGATTTTGTCAGAAGTCTCTGTGATATGGCTGACCATAATGTTGGACGAAATGAAACGTTTTTTTTTGTTTTTCTGAACTATGCTTACCGGTAATCTCAAATTCACAATGTCAATCCAATTATGTTCAAACTTGTTTCACAGGCATTTAGGTTCTAGCATACCAACAACAGTTGATTTGTGTCACAATGCAATCCAAGATCTAAACCAATCTGGCAGCCATGGGCCATATTGCAATTCCAAATCGTAGTGTATCGGGAGTTAGTTATGGCCGAATCAAACACAACTCCACCAATCATAAAGTGAAGTGGTCTGCTTTTGGCAATCTGACGTAACTATTCCACATTATTTTGAAGCTTGTTCTGGTTATTTTCATCCAAAATAGGAACAAGCTATTGTTATGGAAATTTAGCCTTGTAATTAGATATACTGAACTTCTGTATGGAAACGTGCGCTGCAGTACACATTTATCATTGTCATTGTTTTTTTTTATAGCTTCTGTTTTTTTTTTATTTTAGAAAACTAGAAAGCTGTTTAGTGTTATAGTGATAATAAATGCAAGGATTGTAAGTTATTGGACTTATTATGGACTGCCATGTAACTGGGGTTGATTTTACAATGTATATATATAGTGCATTACGGTACTTATACTGCCTTCTCGCAATGTTACCTTACTGTAGGTTTCTCATCCAGCCATGACATGTACAAAGTAGTAAAAATATATTTCTTTAAAAGATGGTCATGGTTTCACCATTCAAAAATTATTCACAAATTTAAAATGGGCAATTTTGTTCACGATTTTGATACCTGTGCAACACACAAACTGGTCATTCAAAACAAATTTAAATCCTGAGTGCCTACTCATCTTTTTTGGGGCGTACATTTTGGTACACATGTTGAAGATGATATTACAATGTTGCCTTTAATTGTAAAATCCCCCAAGCTATTATGTGTCCTACTGACATGGATAAGAGAAATATCTAATGTTGAACAGTATGTTCTCTAACAAAACAGTGTGTTCTCTAGTTAAAATGGATATTCGTAAAAAATTTTTTATTGTATTCGGTTGTAGAAAGCTTCTGAAGGCGCAAAGTAAACTGTTGCGACATCTGAGTTTATATGCCATGAATTCCATTTTTAATGATAAATTCCGTAACTATAGTATCAACGTAGGTGTTGAATCGTTGGCATGCCAGGGAATATTAATTGAAGCACAATTGACTGATTCACAAACAAATCTTAGCGTTTGTGTCAGTTTACCATTCAGAAATAGCATGTCACTGTTGTATCCCCTGAAGTGTTTGTAAGTGTTGATATTATATACACATACATGTGTTGTATAAGTCGCACTTTTGCGCTCACATGAGTAATACAGGTGTGTCTATAGTCATAATAAATTATATTTTACTTATGTTTGGGATTATCAAGGTGACTCATCTTTCTATCATAATGGCTTATGGCAATTTAATACGTTATCCTGGCGTCACACAGTCCCAGTTGTACACTAGCAACTGTTTATAATTCTAATAATTCATACCTGCAGCTGTTTTGAGAATGAATTAGTAGACACATTTCCATTTTTTTTAGAATACCTGTATTGAAAAGGCCATTAGCAACATAATGTTCTGTAAAAAATATGTGCCATATTCTCTATCTTTAATAGTTACAACGGTTTTTGAATGAACGGTGTTGCTATGGTGATTTTATTGCTCATTGATTCTCATATAATGTATATTTGATTCATGTATTGGTAATAAAAATTGTGTGACTGATAATATTCGTATATATATATAAGCGAGTTTTCATGGATGTAGTATGAGAACATGATACACTGAAACCATGCTGTGTCCCACATTTCATGCGGGATTTAGACAGTGAAATTAATAGTAATCTGTAATTGTATGTATGAAAAAAATCATAATTAAATTAGGAATTTAAATCTTTGAGTGTTCCTGCCTTTCTAAGTATTGAAATTGTACATCCTCTATTGCAATTCACCAATCAGTCATTATCACAAGTTATAAATATGTTTTTCTGGTCACAGGTTGTGACTGTTTATTTTATTCCAATTGTTAACAGTTGGTATAGTGCTTTTGCTGCAGATACCATGCATGGCTTATTTCTCAGACTTTGTCCAAGCACCTGCAGACCCCATGTCGCATACATATATTTAGTGCATGAATCACAGCCATGTGGCTTTGCATGCAGACCCGCCCCATTGGATCTGTGATAACCTTTCCCCAGGGCACAGATCAAAAAGATTTTAACTCTCTACCTGCTGATCCTAAGTTTTGTGCAAAACCACTGCATCACCATGGATTGGTTATTAATCTTTATTATTCTGAGAAATATAAGCAAATTTTGCAGGGCTTCAACTTTGAAATGCAAAAAAATTATTGAAATTGTTTGAAATATTTGACTATTTATAAGGGCTGCAAGGCATTCAAGTGGGGATTTTAACCATTGCTTTTATTTTTTCTGTAAATTTGAGCCTTTATATTGCTTAATAGATTTGCAATAATATAAAAGGCACTGTCTGAATCAGTGACTTATTGGATAATTTTCCTTGTGACTTTTATGCATTTTCTACAGCTGCATGCAGTAACAATCTCCAATATTTGTGTGTTTTTTTGTTCATTTCCTTGGTAACATGCTTTGAAATATCAGTATAGTTGTATACCTATATAATCAGTATATGAAAACTACATGTAATTTCATATATTAATGTAAACTCAATGAACCATGTGTAGGGTAGTTTCCATGTAAACTTACATAGAAGCGGGGGATACTATTATTAGGTTTTGTGTACAGACTACTGTAAAAACCATAACATAGCAATAAATCATAACTTGAAACTGTTAATACTAAGATTGACTTATTTAACTACACTGGTGTACCAGATGTCCTATATGTCTATTTCCCTATAATTGAGCGAATTAGTTACTGTATTTATTCTATTACAAGCATATGTGGCTTTATCTCGTGTACCGTGACTGTTCAATGTGATACAGTCCATTGGATACTTTTATTATTATTCCACCCCTGATATCTGATGATAGGCGATGCACTCAATTCAAAATTGTGAGGTCATCTTCAAATATAACAAAACATGTCTCATTTGACAACTTTGTAATATTTTGTTTAAATATTTACATTCTGTTATGTATGGTTACTTTATGTATGGTCATTAAGCACATACACCACCAGCAGTTTCCTCGTTTCATCACAAAATCTTGAGAAGATTAGGACAAAAAAATTTAGTAAAAATTGACTCAAATTTTGTCTGCTCCAAATATAGGGTGCATTTCCAGAAATATTGAAGAATATAAAAAAAAAGTGTAGACAAATTTAGATGAAAAAGTCTGGAGGTGAAAAGGTTGAAATGCGTATACTGATTTTGTCATGTCTACTTCGTCAAACTGTCATATTATGTAAAAATATGCTGATAGAATTGCTTTTGAAGTTAGTAATTGAAAATGATATGAATGATTCTGTAAAACAAGAATTATATTGAATTATATTTTGTCCGAGTTTGCAGAATTACCTAGACATGGCTATAAATTGTTTAATAAACTTTATTCTAATATGCAAATGAATGCCAAACCCGCTAGGAATAATTTGACGCGCTCTCAGAATTATGAGTTCAATGTATACGAAATAGGTACATGGGATAAAGGGAATCTCCAATTTGTGACTGTGATATCGAACTTGAGGAGGAACACAATGAAAATAACTACACTCATTTAAATTAAATCTGATATCACATGTTCACTCATAGTAGGGCAGTGGTCATCGCAATGTGTCATGTTTCGGTACTGGTTCCATGTGATGTATACAATATGCATTTATTAGAAGTACATTGTTAAATGGTCTGGTGCATAATGACCATTTTCCTTCAATGTCATCCCATATTCCGAGTCTAAAAATGAAGACTGTCTATTGTAATTTCATCCGTGTATGTGCATCTGTCCGCAGCAATGTCTTTATTTCTAACTTAGCACAGAGACAATTATGTATGTCATGCATGGGCTCACCAATTTTGTTTTTGTCCTAATACCGGTATATTATGTCTAGCAGTCATTTCAAAGCTAAATTGGCCTAAGTCAATCAAACATTGTAGCATGGTATTCTATAATAATATTTTTAGATGTGATTCAAAATGACCAACTGCATGGTCACCATTTTATTTTTATCACCGATTTTTGTTAGTGATCGTATCAAATTTTAAGACTGATAACCTTTTTGGAAATAAAATTGTTTAATCCTATTGTATGAACTATATGTACACAAGTTCTCAGAGATGACTGGGAAAATTGCAGTCAAACTTTACAATACATACTAGTTTGTGTTATTATTTTTTGAGATACCAGGAGATGCAGGATAGTCAGCTGGTGCTTTTTTTGCTATCAAAGTTGTTGTCCCAAACTTCTTGACTTTAATCTTTGTGATTATAAATGATTTAAAATGTCAGAAGTACTAAGTTTATTGATGACGACAGTTGAGTAGTTTGAGCTAAGTTAGTGTTGTTAAAATCTTCTCAATAAGAAACCTTAGCTTACAATGTATCTTTATTAGAGGTGTGCTTCTAATAATGCAAATAGAGTATGTGTAGGTGACGGTATATACTCATTGTCTTGTGGTGTACACAGATATTACCGTTGTTATAGCAGTACACTTTAGCCTCATTATAACGAACTCTTTGGGAGACATACAATTAGTTTGTTATAGTGAAATGTTCACTATATTGAAGCACATAATACATTGGGTGTATTGTAAGTGAGCGGGAGACATGCTATGTGTTCATTATATCAGGAAATTCATTATAAAGGTGTTCATTATATTGAGGTTACAGTGTATATAGAAATATATTACATATAAAAACTGACATGCATGTATGAAGTCTTTGACATTTTATAATCAAATACGTATTTTTTTGTATTTTCAGGTCATGGAGATGGTGAAAACTCTTGGATTGTCTACTTGCAGGGTGGTGGCTGGTGTTGGAATGTATCAGACTGCTATGCCAGAAGCAACACAGAATTGGGCTCCTCAGCCTACTTTAATTTAACCTACCCATTTGAAGGTTTTCTGTCCAGTTGTGCTAAGTCTAATCCTGATTTCCACAATTGGAATGTGGCTTATCTTGCATACTGTGATGGTGCATCTTTTGCTGGTAAGTCCTACAACTGAAGGCAAAACAGTCAGGGGAGAGGTAAACTCCTTAGTTCATGTTATAAGTAACATTTTTACAAAAACTGAAGTACGATATAATAGGTTGTGTAAGTCATATTGTGAATCTGTTTTATGACTGATGTTTTCTTAAAAAGTTTGCTGTTACAATTACATCTATAATAGGAGCTCAGTTGAACCCAAAATTTTCAGTAGTTCAACTGTAGGAGACACTGCTGTGGTTTGAGGATTGTCGTTTTATGTAAGCACGCATAGGCACTACTAACAAAGCAAAAGTAGTATTACTTTAATATGCAAACCATTGTTAAATTGATTTTAAATTTCCATATAGGTAATCAGCCTGTTCCTACTAAGTATGACGGAAATGAAATTTTCTTCCGCGGGAAGAGAGTATTAGACTTATTACTGGACTATCTTATGGATCAAGGTCTGCGCAGTGCTGATAGGGTTATATTGAGTGGGGTGTCTGGTAAGTTTCAAATTATTAATACATTCAGGCCTTCAAAGGTTTAACGAATTTGTTGGAATACTAGAAATAAGTGCTATTATTATATATCTGATATCAAAAACAGTAGAATTTATTCGTTAGTAAAGTGCTGTATGCTGTATGTAAGTGTTACAGATGTGCGTTCCTTATTTGGAAATTGAGTGTTGTGTTCACGTCACATTTGTACCCTTTTCTTTGTTTACTTCAGATGCAGAAGAGTTATTACCGTGTGATGGAAATAAAATATCATCACTGAACGCAAACATTTGCTCAATGCAAAACATTCTTCGTTGTCATGTTGGGCTGCTGACTCTCAGATTCATAATAATTAGGTTATCATGAGAATACCGCAAAATATGCACTCAGGCAGTACAGGATCGCATTGAATTCCACTTCACGTTCGTCAATACGATTATCGTACTGCTTTCAGGCATACTTTGTGGAATACTCGTAATCATGCTGATTAATTGTGTATCTGGTATATAAAAGAAATTCTCAACCGCTTGTTATTGTATGACGATGCATCTAAGGAGCCATTAGTTATACGATGCACCAAGTGTAAATAGTACCACAGAGTAAATACCGGTAGTACTTTTCTTTTTTCCCATACAGCTGGAGGTCTTGCAGTATATATACATGCTGATTATATCCGAAGTAAATTCCCACCACAAACAGCATTTCATGCGTTCCCGGATGCGGGTTACTTTCCCAACATAAGAAATGCCACAAACTTTGAACATATCAAGATATCATTCCAAAGAGTGTACAATTTGCAGAGAGTCCAAGGTAATATTATTGTATTTGCATCCCTTTTCAATTTTCAGCACTACAAAACATTGCAATTGATTGTATTTGCATCCTTTTTCAATTTGCAGCACTACAAAACATTGATTGTCAAAAATGTATCTCTCTTATTAATTTTCTGAAGAAAGGTGCATACTATAATCAAACTGTTTTGTGAATTTGTGATGAAAATAGGGAACTGGTGGTGAAAAGGTTTATAGTGATAGTGATTTTCAAAGAATTTCAGCAGCATATATCATGACCCCATATGTTCTATTTGATCATTATTAAACAAACAGGTGACCCCTCTGTGATCATAAAATTGCAGCTAAATTTAGAATAATGCATAGTTTCTACCAGTATCACAGCCTGCATTTTTTGAATACATGACAGTATCTATCTACATTGGAACACATATTTACAGACAGACAGACTCGCATTCTATGAATGTATTTGTCTGAGTGCATTCCCCATATCATGCCTGGTCCAGCTTGCCTAACTTTCATCAATCAAAACAAAACGTGTCATTCTAAATTACTTGTGTTTGAGGTCACACTGTGGTAAAAGAGCTCAGGTGCTCCCGCCACACGACCTCGGGTCGCGAAAGCGGTATCCAGTCCATAAACAATATTATCATATTCTCACTACACCTGTTCATCTGAGTTCTATGTGTGTTATTCAAACAGTGTTCTGGCCAATAGCATGGCAGTAGTTCGTCTCAAAACTATAAGAAACAATATGTTCTTAATACTGCGATAATGAGTCTTCATTTAATATCGATTGGTAGGTCAAAAAACACGTACTGTGAAAAATTGATAAAAAACAGAACTGTGACAACCACTGACATTGTCGAACTAGCAATGGTATTTGTTCAATTTTCGAAAGGTGATTAGAAGTACAGATGAACTGAAAATTTACTTTTAGAAATATGACTTTTTTGACCATAGACACACACCTGCCCTGCTTTCTTATTATGTTAGGCATATACATAAATATATGATGCTCTAATAATTCTATTATTAATAATTACAGATAGTTTGAATGCCGCTTGTTTAGCAGACCAAGACAGGAACAGCAAATGGAAGTGTTTCTTTCCCCAGTATACATATCCATATATTACAACACCCATTTTTGTACTCAACTCTGCATACGACTACTGGTCACTCTGGTTTATTATGAATGTACGCTGTTATATATCTGACTGTGACGCAAAAGGTATATTCTACTACAAACACTTCCATGATCAAGCCTTTGAGATTACCCAGCTGATCTACAAGTCTAGTAAAGACGGTATCTACGTGACTTCCTGTTATGCCCATTCTCAAGCTGTTTTTGACCATGAATGGACTGGGTATGTAGTTAATGGAACAACCCCTGCGGCGGCATTTGGTGATTGGTATTTTGGCCGTAAAACTGTACAGCAATCAAAGTACTGGGACTGTGCAACACCAGCCTGCAATCCTACGTGTGACTGGAGTTTGGAATACTATAAGAGTGTTACTGGACGTCTTGGCCGATTTGACTTCTTTATTTAAAGACTGCTTTTTTTTTCATTAATGCTCATGTTTTGCAGGTACTCATATATACTGAGTAGAACTGATATATTTTATTTTAAAATACATACTTTCATTGTAACTATTACTTGGGGGCGTAGACATATTTCAATCAATAACATTTATCAAGGATGAATGCCTACATTGTTTAAATGGGAACCATGTGCATGTCAATACAAGTTGTGTTAATTCCACTCGATTCTAGTGACAATGTTTACAAAATATTCAGCTACAGTGTGGGTCTAATATTTTCAAAATTTGGGCACGGTAATTGAAAGAATTTGTTACCCCCTTCAGTATTAACCCACCCTCTCCCCTCCCAGCCCACCCCTAAATGAAGAAAGTATGTTTGTCAATATTCTGGTTTTTTTTTAAATTAAGTTTAAGATCAAAAGACTATTTATTCCCACTAATATTTTATGTTATACAGTTGGTTCTTTGCCATGTTATGCGTCAGCTCTTGTATGTATATATGCCAATTATACATTTGTTTAGTTCAGCTGATTGGCTACCGGACCCTAACATCAAACAGTCAGAGAGCAGCTTCTTTCAACATATCAAATTCTGCCTCGTCTATATGCTTCAACTCAGCTGCCGCTATACACGGATCTTTTGGCTCACATAGTTTGAGGAATGTCTTCTCTGCATATCATGTCTTCAAAGAATATCCTCTGTGAAGTATGCATATTGTTATAGCTGCAACTGCCAGTGTGTACGGTATATGATTGCGTTTACTGCGTTTGATTTGATTTAAATCCTTCCAGACAGTGCAGGATTTCTGTGGGACACTTTGTATGTTTAAATGATATTTATTCAGTTCTAAGCTGCCATGTTCTGGGACTCGTAAATTTGTTATGAGGTGAATCCAGACAAATGTTTTGAATGCTTCAAGATAATGTATTCATACAGACAGTATTTTGTTAAAAGTATTGGCATTATGTGAATATATGTATGTCTTTGGCTGATATGTGTGTATATGTGTCCATTGGGGTGAGGTGGCAGAGATGAAAAGTGTTAAATGTATTGCTTATAAATCAATAATTCCGCACTGGAGTGAGTTTATTATTAGTTCAAATAAATTATGCCGTAGCAATTAATTGAGTGCAATTATATACACATGTACATATCGTGAACGGCAAAGTAAAGCTT